ATAGCCCACGGCTTGACAATAGTCACAAAGTAACACTCTTTGGGTTCATCTACGTTTCTGACCGTCCGGGAGAAAGTCTGGGACGAGCCTAGCAAAACCGAGAATGTGGGGGTAATTCAGCTGCTCCTGAGGAATTCTCGACGAGCAGTCAGTCGACTTCTGCGTGATCGTCTCTACCTGAGCCTTCGAGTAGCCCAAGCCGCACAAGAACCCGGCGTAATCGTCCATTTCAATGTCGTAAATCAAACCAGGATCCACCGCCCTATTCGATTTCACATGACCGGCCCCCGTCTCATAGACACCATCCAGGGTAAGCTTCTCATCGAGAATCTCCGTGCCGTTGCGGTTGACGATGTCGGATGTGGTCATGATAGCCGATTTCACAGCGTTGCCGACCAGTCGGGGAGTGCGCTCTTGTTCAGGGCCGCGACCTGACCGCCCGTCGCAATGCAGCAAAATTAAAATTTATATTTTTCCTTAACCGACTTCTACCAACCAGTAGTAGTAGTGAGCAAGGGTCGAACCCACAGGGAGTGTGAATCAAATTGTGATTTTTCTCGTATTAATTGAATTTATAAAAAGCGATAAAAGGGGGAATTTTGAATTAATAACTAATCTATCTAAGAATGAAATCTAAACAATAAAAATAAAAATAAAATAAAATAAATAAGAGAATTTTCTAGTTCACGGTTCTGTCTACACCCTCGACTGACTTGTCTAATCAATTTTGGTATCAAATCTCGTTATCTTATGGATTACTAGCCCTAGGCAACGACACAGTCTGTTACCCGAATATTTTCTTATTTATAATTTAACCACGAGACGCTCTACTATTAAACCTAACTTCTTGTACAGTCCAGAAAGACACTTTCAAGATTTAATACAATTTTCGTTTTACAAATTAGAAAAATAGGCTAGACTAAGTAGTGCCGCGTTCGTTCACTTAAATAGACTATGTTATCCCCGGTAGTAACCGTCTTCCGGTAGCCTCTTATGAATTAAACACAACAACAATTACGGATTGAAGGTCTAATTCATCTGTAGATATGAAAGCCTAATCTAGGCGATCAATCTAAATAAGATTAACACATCATGGTTAATTATTCAAAATAACACAAACAATTCCAAAAAGATAACTCAAAAATCAACCACGTAAATTAATCAAACATCATCAAGTCGTAGGGTTCAACTTTCCTGGAACTAGAATAAAATCTACTCTAACCTAATAAATAAAGAAGAAAAGAGAAGAATAAAGTTATCCTCTTTCGTGATTCCCTCCGCGATTGCCGACTTCCTCGTATCTTTGCATCTGTTCGCTCTGTTCGCGTATGCTCTGCGTGATGTAGGCGACTCCAAAATAATTCTCCTCCCAATATGTATCTCCTGTGGTTAATTCTCCCAGCCAATATATTTTCCTTGGTGTAAATATCTATTTTCACCCCGTTTTGAAGTTTTGATAAGTTTTTCACACCGCCCAATAAAAAGCTAAGTTTTTCACCCTAGAAAGTGCGAAGGTTATGCGAAAACTGTCGCATGTTCATCGCATAACTGTCCATATGCGAAGGATATGCGAAAAACTGTCGCATAACTGTCACATATCAATTGCATAATTGTGCAAAGGCATTGTGCGATAAATATGCGACAGTTATGCAATTGACATGCGACAGTTATGCGAAAAACTGTCGCATAACTGTCGCATATCAATTGCATAATTGTGCGAAGGCATTGTGCGATGAATATGCGACAGTTATGCAATTGATATGCGACAGTTATGCGACAGTTTTTCGCATAACCTTCGCATATGGGCAGTTATGCGATGAATATGCGACAGTTTTCGCATAACCTTCGCACTTTCTGGGGTGAAAAACTTAGCTTTTTATTGGGCGGTGTGAAAAACTTAATGTGTCTTTGTTATGGGGTGAAAAAGATTTTTTCCCTTTTCCTTGCGTGAGTGAAGTCTCTTTCCGTAAATAAAATTTCAAGACTCCCAATTAAATACTCTCGATGTTGCATATGAAAGAAACTCACGGCCCATATCAAAGCAAAAATAGAAGTCCACCTCTCTTAGGCAAATATTTGCCTCCCAAATAAATGTCTTCCAGCCCATAATACTCACGCCCCTCGTTAATTAAATGGTAGTTACGAAAATTTCCCCTCGTTAATTAAATGGTGATTTTAAGAATTGGGCTTAAACTTGGACTGGAATTGGGCCGATATGCAGCGCTTGATAATTATCGTATGAATCTCCGTACACGCGTCCACAAAATGCTCAAATATTTTGAAATTAAATCATAAAAGTATCATAGAACTCGAATCCATCTAATAAATAAATAAGTCGACAAACATGTAAGTGCAATAAAAATAAGCATATAAAAATACGCTAATGAATATATAGAATACACATTTTTTTTCGACCAATCAAATCTCCCCAAACTTACATCGTCGCTTGTCCTCAAGCAACTTAGAACTATATGCACATAGATGGATAAGAAAACAAGTACGTGGAACTTTACTCAGGACCTCACAAATCTCACATAAGTGCATAGTTCAAACAACTCAAACTAATTTATTCGGACTCAAGACAAAATTATTCTAAGAACGCAAACACATCAAGTATCAATTCAAATGACCACCATAGTTTGTCAATCTCTATAACGAATGCACCAATCAATGCAACTAATGACACCCCTCTCTTTGCTAACAAGTCTAGTTTCTTTCCGTTTCTAGCCAAAGTCTGAATGTCTCATTCTCCAAACTTTTTTTTTCTCTCTTTTTTTTATTCTCTCTCTTTTTTTTTTCAAGTAGGGAACGACAGCTCCGTCACAACCCGCGGGTTTTAGCCTTTCGTGCTCGTCTTGATACAGAAATTATTGGATTTGTACACTAGAGACCTCACGGATTGGCAGCTGTTTCAGCCCATGACTTTTTTTTTTGGTGCCAAAACGGCTTTTCAACTTCACCAATTATTTCTCCATCCTCATTATTCTTTTTTTTTTTTTTTGACTATGAGACATAGAAACCCTAACTTTCAACTTCAAGTGCCCCAACTTAATCAACATTGATTAAAGCAATCACAAGCACATCTCAACAATACAAATTGCCTCAAAACCAACTCACCATAAATAAGTCACAAAAATATCAACCATCATGCCTTTGTCCCCAAAATAAAAACACCTTAAGAATTTAACCAAATAAAATTAACTCAAGCCATTTAAACTAGCACAATAAATCAAACCGACTCTCATGTCATCATCGCAAAATTCCACGTACATGCAATCTCACACTCACACAAGACTAACAAATATCATGCAATTCAATCTAAGAATCAAACTCTAATGGGCAAAAATATAATTACATAATAAATCATGAATGCTCACCAAAACCACCTCCCCAAACTTAGAGTCCGCATATATCACTGACACGCAAATATCAAAAAGAACAAAAACCGGAGGTAAAAGAAACGAGTTCACCTTATTCAATTCAGAGGAAGTCGCCGAACCACGCACACCATTGGGTTGCCTCCCAATAAGCGCCTCTTTTTAATGTCGTTGGCCCGACTTATTGCTCTCTTTCATCAAATGATCCATGGTGGTT